CCATGGAGAAGAGTCTTGACTCTAGATATCCAAACTGGCTGGAAAATTTCATCAACTGAGAAGCAAGCCACAACAGGAGCTACTGTCCAAATTACCATATTCAAAATATTCAGCACCAACGTAAGTTAGTTTTTGCAGTGCCAGCCCTTTACCAGCATCACATATAGGTTTTATGCTTTCTCTACGCAGCAGAATATTTTTCTGAGTATTACAAATTAGGTTTTATGCTCTCTCTATGCAGCAGAATATTTTTCTGAGTATTACAAATTTTTAAGTATGACCATTTGTAAGCATGTAGCAATGCTTTGTAAGGATAACAGAGTAACAGCTTTCCTTCACTGTTTGTTGGGTGTCATTTTGGCTGGACAGGAGACCTGCTGCACAGGGACAAGGAAAGAAAAGCTGAAAAACTTCCTAGCTAAATGTTTGAATATCCTCCTCCACGCTGTCTTTGAGTAATTCCATATGCAGATACCTTTTACTTATATTGCTAAATCTTAGCCTTAGTGCCCATGGAGTCATTGTTCTTATTTATAAGAGGTATATTTTGCATGTGACCCTATAACCAACAACATACAATGCCAAATCCTCATTTACTGTGCCAAAGTATTTTTTGCCTTACTCCAGAGGCATTTCACATACATGTTGGCCAGGAGAAAAGCAAAAAAAGGAAAAAAGTTAATTATCACCCTCGAACTGGTGCTTACACCAAGCCACAGAAGTTACACAAAAGACTGATTCAGTAATTTTTGCATAATGCTTATCAGCAGTTTTGCTGAAGTGCACACATCTCTAACATGGAAGGCTGAAGAAATGCTAAAGCATTAGTGTGCTCCACAGCCAGGGGTGTTTGTAACGCCTTATTCCATACGGATCCACCACAGACAAGTCACTTCAGCTCATAATCTTAACACTAGGTGCAAAATTTTTAAGAAAGCGACCTTTTTTTCCTGTAGGAGTTAAATAGTTTCAGGAAGCAAATTGTATTAAAAAAAAAAAAATGCAAGCCACTAGCTGAACTATTTTCAAAGCAAACTTTGCCAACTACTTGCAACTGGCAGGGTTTTCTGCAGAGCCCTCAGTATGTAACTGGCTCATACTCTGGTTTCCATTGTATTAGAAGGAATGAGACACTCCATGCTGACATCAGCACAAACCAACCAATTCACAGATTTGTTTGGAGACAAGGATTTGATCCGTAATGCACGTGTCTTGAGAACTACCCAACACACAGAAGTCTCTGCTGCCATGACTGTTACTGCTTTTACCACCCAGTACCAGACAAGCATCAGTGCATGGACCTTCCTCCTTCAACCTCTCCTACAAGCCCAGCAAAGAGCCAAGACTGGCATTATTTTTATACATTTATCCCTGCCAGGGACATGAGAAATACTGTTCAGCAAACAAAAATTGATTAACTTGATATATGACAGGTACAAGGAAAATTCTCTAATTTTTAAAGTAAATTAACAAGATTTAATAGACACCAGAACAAAAATAAGACACGTCTTAGAGCTCACCATTTAAAAGATGCAATTTGAAAGTCAAAGGCATACAGAAGCGTTCCCCTACCCAAGCATTAATCAAATTGTAACCATTTCCTTGGGACTATGTCTTGTATAATTCATACCCAACTGTTCTCAGCTTTGAAACCATCTACTGCCAATTTAAAAATAAAATTAAAAAAAACCCCAGCAAAATCAAGCGTATAGGTTCTTTCTTGTTTTAAAGCAGTTACCTATCTGATAAAATAACCACTGATCTGACCAGTGAGAGACCGTCGCCTTCTGAAATCTGAAGAAATGTCCTGCTTTAAGGTTTGAGTTGCAGGAATTACTGTAATCAAGCCTCACTGCCACAACAAAAACATAACCTTTGAGGTTGTTAGAGGATAAAATAACACTTCACTCACTTCTGTCTGCCTCTAGCTATGCTGGGGTAGAAACAGACTTATGGGTTTTTTTGGTATTACATACACTAAATAGTTTCCTGGGGAAGGAAAAAAATATGATTGAGTGAGGTCGATATTACTGATCAATCAGCATCTCTGAACAAGTCTCCTTTTGACATGCCCCCAGGCAACAACAAACTCTGACCATCAACAAGACAGTTATCCAAGGCTTGATATGAGAATTCAGATATAGCCAGTAGCAGGCATTCAAACGGATCACCGGGGCAAAGGATGAACTTCTAGAATGTACAGGCTGAAGAGGGAGAGATCTCTCTTTTTTTTTTTTAATCTGATATGCAGAGACGTACACCCACAAAACTCTATGCTCCCTCTTGAAGTGATCTTGGGAAGGCACTCTGTATGGGACAAAAGGATTCTTGAAGGCTGCCATATTTCAAATCCCCAAGGGTTGAGAGCCAAGACGTGTTCCAGACACTTCGTGTCCATTGTTTAATTGAAGCCACAAATCATCAAAAAGTCAAAAACTGACAAAATACCAACCTCTCCTTAACAGGCATAGTTTCATACCAAAGGAAGGCAAAAATCAGACTTTATTAGCATTGGCCCTAGCGTATTTCTAACTACAGTTCACCCAAGGCACACTTCCCCAAGAGAAGTTTGTCTGTAGGCAATGAAGGTGAGGCCACCTGCCACAGACTGCTCTGAGCCCATCTCTGCCCGCCTCGCCCCATCCTTTAGGGCAATTCTTCACCTACCAAGTAGGAAAGTTCTGCATAAGGCAGCACCTTAACAGTCAGCAGCAAACAATTTCCAATCAATTTTGCAGGTAACAAGCTTCTGCCAGGAAGTCATTTATCTTTCCCATTGAAAAGGTAACAAGCAATCATTGGGAGAACAGGGCAACAGGAATTACTAGGAAAAATTGTCCACCAATGAAAAAAAATCCATTAGGTCTATGACAAAGGTCAGATAACATTGTTTGGGTTCAGCCATAATTCTTTCTTGTATAAGGTTCACATTAAGGTTTTGTGTAACGGGAAGAGAAGAAATGCAGGTGCAGGCACTCCTCAGCCATCTCCTCCACAATCTAGCTGATTAATATCTTTATCAACTTCTGGTCAGAAGAGCCAATCAGATTAACACACTCAAAGAGACTATAATGTCTCCTTTTCATTAAAAAGGAGACAAAAACATGCCTGCAAAAACCAAGATGTCAGATCCATCTACACATAGACATAGGTAACAGTCTCATGAGTGACAAGTATTTATGTAGAAAAACATCTAACAGCAAGTTGTGAACAGCCTCCCCTTCTGAAGCACAGACATCCACAGGTGACCTGAACAAAAAAAAATACCCAAAACAATTGCAAAGACGTGGCTGGGAGCCTCTAATCCCCTACTATCTCTCCCTTATACCCTGAGAGAGGTTAGGAGTTGATAAGTACCTGGGATGATACGTGCTTATCTACGTGCGTAAAAGCATAATTCCGTAAAAGCGTAAATACACACCAATCTAAAAGCTCAGCTACAAAACACTATTTTCAAAAGGCACCTTTACACTGTATCACTAGTAGACAGATTCAAGAAAGAAGGCCAAGAAAGTTGCTCAAACAAATAAATTTGATGGCCAGGTAGTGCAAAAATGCACTCTTCAGATGGCTTAACCTTTGTTTGATCTTCCACTCAAAAAATAATGTACCATATTTGTCTCAATTTAATCCCACCAGCCAAGAGCACACACAATTTACATAGATACTTTCGCACAAGTGTTGGTCTTTGCTCAGGGCAGGCCCAGGCCAAAAATAGCATTTAGTCTAAGTTACATCTCAGTTATACAAAGGATGTTCCCTGCAGGTCAAGACTGGGGTTATTCACGAGGCAAAATAAGGAAGCCATAAATGCACTAAAATATCAAGCAACCTACGACATAAGTGTCATTTAAGATGCGAAGTTTCCAGTTTCAGGACAGACAGGAATCCATGCAACACCCCAATCTTTGAAGTCAATTTTTCAAAGAAGTAAACATCACTTTAGCGCATCAATTGCTTTTCAGATCACATCATTTTTGTATGAAAGTTCTACATATTATTACATTGTTTCAGGTCAACTTCCTCAGTGGCACTTCAAACTCCTATTTGTTCTTCAGCTGTCCACAAACCAAACACAGCCAGCAGGAACAATTTCTGGTTACCAGGTCACCAAACCTCAGTCTCATTTTACACTTCAGTAATCTGAATACTGTACGTTATTTGAAAGGAAATTGGAGTGATGTGCTTTTGTTTTTTTCTAGAATTAGTTCAGTCTCACCACTTACACTTACAAACCTAACTTCGTCACCTTACTGATAAGCAACTGGAAAGCCATCTACTTTGCAAATTGGGATCGAGAAGTAAACATTTCCAAAACAAGCTGCCAAGTCAGAAGTACAACATTACTGAAAAATATAAATATTGCCAGGCTCTCAAATATCTAAGCCCGAAAGTAGGTAAGGGGTCGGTCAGAGCACTGGGGAAGGGGGAGAGAGAAATCATAGAAACACACAGTTTGGAGATTTTTGCACGAAAACAGCAAGTTAGTTTCAGATGCCTTCTGCTGAGGGCTGCACACCGATGATTTGACTTCCAATCAAAACAACTCTCTACGGTTCAAGAGTCACAGAGTTCTCTACAATTCCTATTACATAATAAAATGGGGTTTACTCTTTGAATTTGAAAGTTCTAATTGCCCAACAAAAGGGATCTTATCAAAACATGTTTAAGACATCAGTTCTGAATCACAGGCACAGCGTTAGGCACAGCTTTCTTGTGAAGAAGCTGCCAAAATTCATAGGCTTGGGTTTGGTTTTTTTTCCAAAAGAAACAAGTAGAGAGCAAAAACTTGTTTCTTGAAAATCCAGCAGTCCAAGACCACCTAAAAACAGGCAGCAGCTGTTTGAACACTGCGCTGCCACAATAATTTGGTGTAGATTGTAGCAGTAAATTTATCTTATCTATAGACAACAGTCCATCTCTTCCAGATTTTTCAGAAGACAGCCCTGAGGAACAGCATCCTTTCACTGACCAGAAGAAGGTAATTCGTTTCCTCCTACCTGAGAGATCATGATGAATAAGATCAGCAAAGTTGGGGTCATCACCCCACCAAAATATCCACAGCTCCCTGCGTCCAGGTCTCTGGTCTCGGCGCCAAACGCTGAGTACATCTGCCTTCAGACAGCGACTGAAACTGCTCAAAATAGGGTCCTCCTCCGTCACCGGAAAGAGAATTGGAGCAGATGTTGGACCCTGCCATACGTATCGCTTCCATTTAATCCCAGTTAGATCAGCCTGAGGGAAGGAAAAGAACAACTGTCAGCCACCGGTGGAGGGACAGAAACATCCTGCTCTAACAAGATGATGGCACAGGAAGAGGCGGGTGGAAGAGAGGAAGGATTAATCCAATGAAATTTAACAGAAGCCACACTTGCAAGTTTGGTGCACCTTGGGAGATAAACTGGGAATAATTAGTTTTAAAATCTCCTTTGATAACTGCTGCAAAGCAAAAGCTGTTCATTTTCACTGCAGCTTTATGATTTCGGAAAGAAAAGGCAGATTTGATTTAAAATTTGTAAAAAGTGAAAGACAAGTGAATAATGTAATTATTTGCAGACTGCAACTGCCCAATCTACTAAACACTTGCCTTAGCAAAGAATGTCTTTCCTTTTGCTTACTTATGCCTACACTGCCTTTTCAATCCAAGATTACTCTAAGGAAACAGGCAATATAGTAAATCTACCTCAAGTATTCATTCTTCCAGTCACCTACTACTTTGGAAAATTTCACAAGTTTCTCCATTGTAAAATATTCTCTGTATATCTCACAGAGGGAGCCTCTCAAGTACACATATTTCACCCAGAGCTATCACCTTTTCATTTCTCACACCACAACTTAAGAGTTTAAATCCCGTTTTTATCATTAAATTATACATCAGACTTATGTCCACATTATAATCCACTAAATCCCCTTCTAGGCAAAAATTCATTCGACTTCAGAAAGTAAGTTACTACTGTATGTAATGGGAAACAGACAATTCCTGGGTTATCTACAATGCAATAACCATACCAAGTTACAGCTCTAAGTTTTTTTTCATATGAGGACAGTCACCTCAAGGCATGTTAAGGGAGGCACTGGCCCCTGGTTCTCTTTGGGAAGGGACAACAAGGTAGGCTGGCATTTGCTAAAAAAATAAATCACTATTTTTTTTGTCCCTTCCCAATACGACAAGACACATAAAATTACTGCAACATTTAAACCCAACATGGCAGCCTTCCTACCTTCAGGAGGAGAAGCAATTTAGACAAAAGGTAGGGAGTCCGCAACAGTTGATACTTTAGAACGACTTTAAGATTTAAAAATGCACTACTAAGATGGAGCTGCAGGCCTGGTGCAGGCTGCAGACATGTTCAGGCTGTCCAGATTCCCCCCCATCCAAAAAAATATCAGTACCACAGCTTGGCACAGGTTTCTACTTGTAACAGTCTCCAGCATAATAAATACCAAGCAGCCAGCTAAGATTAGCTAATTTGCATTAAAAAGCAGATGAAACAGCTCAGCACAGCCACCAAAAATTGCATCACAGTCCAGTTAAATCGAATTTACTTTGGGAGCTACCAAAAAATCAACAATTCGAACGATTTCACACTTGGGTTTAAAAGGACTACAAAATGGTGCACAACAAAAATATAAGATGCCACCGCTTCACAGCGAGGGCATCGCCAAAAGCAGACCTCCAGAATAAAAACAAGCAGCAGAAGAGGAGGGGGGGGGGGGGAACAAAAGTAATAGGATTTTGTTAAAATACCAAATCATAGGGATGTGAGAAGTGTTCCCTGACTGGGCAGGGAGAAATAAGTCCTCCAGAAGTCAGATGAGCTCATGCACCTGCTAATTCAGAATAGACCCATGCAAGATCTCACCTCTCTGCCTGAACACACAGCAAAGAGTTGCTGCAGATTATCAGGAGCCTCATAAATACGATCAAGTTCTCCACTAAGCAGAGCTTTGCTCAACATCTCTGGAAAAGCACCTGTTAAAACAGTTGGGAAGATCCATGAAGGTGAAAGAGTTTGTCATGAATCTTTTCCAAAAGCAAATGGACCAACTGAGTGTTGATGAGGGAGGGAGGGATGGCAAAGCCACAGACGGAGCACTTACAATGGCTGAACCAGATAGGTTCAGCAGCCCCAGAGGTCCAAGCAGAGAGTTGGAGAAGAGATGGCTGCTGCTTTGGTATGGTCTGACAAGGGGAGCATGCTGGGTGCCAGTTGGGTCACTGACACCTCCCAAAAGGAGGACACCAAACTGCAGCAGGACCCATTTTGCAGCAAGAGCTGTTTAAGAAATTCATGTCACACCACTGAGGGGAAAAGATTCCTGCTGGGGGATGATTTAACCCTGTAAGTAAAAAAAAAAAAAAAAAAGGGGGGGGGGGGGGGGGGGGGGGGGGGGTTTAAAAAGCAAGGAGGGAGGTTTGGGCTCTGTTTTGCCTGGGATGTCAGGAGAGGGAAGAGAGGAGAGAAAGTTCCCCGAGATGTGGGGCTGAAAAAGAAGGAGGGTAAGGGGCTCTGCGGCTCCTTCTGCGAGAAATATCACACTCAGAAGCGGAGAAGACGGGGGGGAAAGGAGGAAAAAGTTGGAGGGGAGGAAAGGGGAGGAAAAGGCGAGTGGCAGGGAGGGCTACTATCCAGGAAGAAAGCGGAGGGAGGGGCGAGGCGAGACAGACAGCGATGGAGGGGGAACCAGAGGGGCATGGGAGAGTTGGCTGGCTCCAGGCAGGGCCTACTCTGAGGACTCATCCAACAGAAGCTATGCTAAAAATGGCTGCTTTGCTTCCAC